AAAATAGGTATTTGACAATCTAAAATTTGAAAAATCTAGTTGAGTGACCTTCTGAGTGCAATAGGCATAGTTTAGTGACTTTGTTGTTACAAATAAAAGTAAAGTGACTTTAGGAGATAATTTGAGATAGTTGAGTGACCATTTAAGTAATTGACTCGAGAAAGAAAGGAGGTCTAATTAAGGCAATGTAACTAAAACTTTTTGAAAATTTTAATGTAAAGCACATAAACAGGGAAAAATAGAAAAAATTTTAAAAAAATTGAGAAAAAAGATAAATGTGATTCGTGGCCAAAAAGACATGCAGTATCACTTTTTCTAAGCCCTCTTATATTTATATATATATTCTTACGTTGGAAATAAGATGTGATATGTTCTATAAGTGAATAACAAAAACCAAGATATTAAAGAAAATAAAAAGAAATAAAGGTTGACAATTAAAGGGTCTAAATACACATTAAAGAGATTAAATTATGATAACAAGGAANAAAGGAAAATCTCCCTGTTCAAAAACGAAAAAAGAAGGTTGTTTCTGTTCAATTGTAAGTTGTGAATTTGAGAACTGACAGGCTTCTTTTGCTTTCCTTTTTTTTTTTTTTTTTTTTTTTTTTTTTTTTTTTTTTTTGCAAAATTGAAGAGGAAGAATAATTTTCAACTATTTTAAAATGTTGATAAGACCCGTACGAACTCTAATGTTAGTATTTTGCTAACAAGTTCATTTTCTGTGCACACTATACCTAATATTACACGATTACATCATATAACGTATGTCAAATGCCCTTAAATATTGTTATAGTATTATTTTCATGATCATACAGATTTAATATATATGGAACAAGTTTTTAACATTCAAAACCAACAATATGCCATGGAAGAGCCCATATTTATGTACATTATAAAAAGTATAAATTTAATTAAAATAAAAGAGATAAAATTTTGGTGTAGATATATAAATAAAAATAAATTCTATATATTAATTGAGGTTAAATGGACAATATCTTTCATAAACTGACTTTTTAAAGAAACAAAGAATTATAAGCAATTTTTTCACTTGTACATGTATGTTTATGCGCACCTCATTTCCTTAGTCTAATACATATCTAAAACACTAGAAAGAGGCTGCCCGTGCATACTAATTGAAAATTAACAACAACAGCGACAGAAACTTCAGTAATTAACCTTGTTGGCTGAGAAATCCATAGAGCCACAATTAGCATAACTACATTCAAGCCAAAAGGGATACAGCTTCATTTATCGCAGATTCCCCAAAAAAAAACCGTGGGAACAATGAAAAAAAAAAAAGATATCTCGATAACGAAAATTATAGGGGGCTGTATTAGCGAGATTCAACGGTGAACAGCTGCCTAAAAGAAAAGCCGCTGAAATATAACAGCGTTGTTAGTTCACACTCATACAAAGTTTCACTTTAAAGCGAAAGCTGCAAGAGCAATGGAAGCAACAATATTATAGAGTCGGCACAAAGTCGCCATTTCCCTTCCTCTACAGAAATTTAGTCTTGGATGATATTTGCCTCGTCTCCAAAAACTTAATTGGATAGCCGAGTAGTCAAAAGTAGAAAGCTGGATATTTTCACTGCACTTTTTCCTTCTCCAGCCCATTGAAGCTAACTATTTCCTGCATATGTTGATAAAGAGTTAAAAGTTATATTTATGTGGTAAGTGAATAATACATAGTAACATGAACGACACAACAGACACACTCTTCTCATACAGAGGTGGAGGTAATAATCAACATACTATTAACTCTTAGACAAGAGGGGTTGCTCTGATGGTAAGCAACCTCCACTTCCAACCAAAAGGTTGTGAGTTCGAGTCTCCCCAAGAGCAAGGTGGGAAGTTCTTGGAGGGAAGGATGCCGAGGGTTTATTTGGAAACAGGCTCTCTACCTTAGGGTAGGGGTAAGGTCTGCGTACACACTACCCTTCTCAGACCCCACTAAGTGGAATAAATATACTGGGTTGTTGTTGTTTGTACTATTAACTCTTCCACCCATTATCTCATAATCATTCATTATAACATGAAATATATATCATCCTGTATAAGGAGCAAGGTATTGTGATGTAGCAGGGGAATCTGCCGTTTCGGCTACCACAATAGTGTAACCAAAATGTTCAGTATAATGCAAACAAGCAAACTATGGTTCTAGCTACTGCCAAAGCTAATGAATATACATTTACTTCCTAAAATTTACACCAAAGCACGAGAAAAATGAGGAAAGGTATTTCAGATTGTTGTTCAAGACTAATGGAAATCAAAAGCATTACAGGTTAACAATAAAACCAAGGGTTTGTTTTGAACAATCAAAGCATCTAGTGGTAAACAAAGTAATCCTGATAAGTCACTAAGTCAAAAACTTTCAGTTACTTTCCGTTTCTTTTTATCAAACACCAAGGTAAACGCAATCTAGATATACTTTGGTTATTTATTCAATCAAACCATTCCATAAGAATTCTATCCATAGACGGGATTGGATAAACATGATGAGAACAATTAACAGTTAAATGACTGGAGCATGATAATTTTCCTTATCATCAGAGGTAAGCCACCTAAAACAGAAATAATGTTAAGGATCTGACTTAAATAAAAGTATATCTCAATCAAATTATAGAAATAACTGTCAGGTGAAGAAGAATAAGAAAGTATGGAAAAAGATGGTATCATTCATTCAGTACCTAGCTACTTGGAACTCTATCTCACTGCATTAATACATAATAAGACCAATAAGATTTAACAAATGAGAAAACTTATTCCACTTTTCATATTAATGAGCTTAAATGTTACATCATCTTTTGAGTAAACAGCAATTTAAGGGAGATGAATTCCAAGTGGTAACGAAGCTTAAACATCTCCAGAAAATCTGCAAAAGCGAGAAATAAAAAAAGAATATAGGAAAAAAGAGAAAATGATGATTAAATGATTGTCTTTACACTCATTTATGAAATGTCAGATAAATTATTATGGTTTTAGAATATATGCGTTTAAGTTCATACAAAGCTAATAATCTTCGAATTCTTGTTCTGCTTCAGTAGTTATTGGACTTGGAAGTAACCAATGAGGGCAAAGCAGTACAATTATTAATTTGCGAAGGGAGTGAATTTTAGCCAAAATAAAACTGTAATCTAATAGCATTACATGAATAGCAATATCAATTGTACCTTATCACAGTTACTCATTATTCAACAAAGAATAACTAATTGTAGCAAAAAAGAAATCTGTTCTTCAGCTTAAGTTACATAGTATTAACCACATTTCACATTATCCTACTAAAAGGAAATTGAGAAGCAATTCACTGCAATGTAGTTGAAGTAATATTCCTCTATTAAGGGATGTATATAGAAACCAGCGAACTAATAGACTTCTTCAAAAATTCAAATTTAAAATAGAAAACACTCCTCACTCACACTCTTTTTCGTCGTACACTCTTTATCCAAACTTAAAAGTCCTTCCAACACCAAGAGATACAACAGAAATGCATAAACTGCAAATCGACATAGGATTAGTAGATATCAAGAAGTATTTCAAAACTCCACAAAATCAGTTAAATGGATGATTATAATACAATGTGGTTTTCTTATATATAAACCACAGATATATTAGTTAACCCAACACCTACTCTATTGCTGGAAACCAGGAAAAAAAAAGGAAGCAGAACATCTAGTTCACTTTAGTTGTTCGTTTATAAATGAAAAGGCACATAATCATATTACATCATTTAAGAACTAAGCTCTTGGGTGGTTTTTAATTTCTTGTAAACTGGTTACAATTGAACCATTAAATCAGTGACATTCTCAAGTGAGTCAGAGATCAATGCATTCATTATATGAATATAGTGTAAACTTCTAAAAGAACACGGTTAGAGTAATAGAAGGAAAGCAACAGGGCGATTTCCAAGATAAAGATGAGTCATCAGAATTCAGAACCAAGTAAAAAGGAAAATTGAAAACTCAATGAGTTTCCGAATTACTGTTTACCCTAAGTTTTTATGCAAAGTTTAGTGGAAAAAAAGAGAAATGCAAAGTTTAGTGAAAAAAAGAGAAATACAAAGTTTAGTTAGAATATCTATCTGAACTCCACGATGCATAATTCTTCTCTGCTTTGGCCGATTTTGAGGATACCCAGAATAGGTAGCTCGATTTCCGCATCCAAAATCTAACGAAGATAAATCTGATTCTATCGATACCTAGCAAATTATCTCTTGCCAGGTTTATAGAAATAAAGACCTAAGTACGACAAGCAAATAGAAACAAAAAATACATACTAAATCAATTAAGAAATAGCTCATTAAAAACATAAGAGGGGAAAAACAAACAAATATAGTGACACCAAAATGGAGAAACTTAAGAAGAAACTAACCTTTTGGGAAAAGGGGTGGATGAATGGACAAACAGAGAAAACTCATAGAAATATGAGGAAAATATTACTTAGAAAGCTGAAAATAAATAGTTCCAAATAACATTGAATCGAAGAGGAGAACAACATGAAGAAAGAAGATCAGGTATACTGGAAACAACTGAGCCTCACCGTAGCTTCTTTGGTCATCGGTAGTGAGTGAGAGAGAGAGAATGTCTACTATAGAAAGAAAAGATTTGCACTGAAGAACAAAGAGGTGAACTGAAAGAATCAAACTGGAGGCCAGTTGTCCCACTACAAATAAAAAGGTGATTGTGCAATGCACGTGTTTACAGGAGAAGAACAAAGAAACTGTATAAGCAATGAGATAAGTCCACATCTGGTTAAAAAAGAGGCCTAATATTACAGTACAATTCATAGCCTGTTTGGCCAATTTTTTTTGGCCAAAACTTTTTTTTTTTTTCAAAAACACTTTTGACCAAAAATTGAGGTGTTTGGCCAAATTTTTAGAAGGAAAAAAAAAGTGCTTTTGAGGAGAAGCAGAAGCAATTTTGGAGAAGCGGAAAAAAGTAGTTTCTCTCCAAAAATACTTTTTTAAGAAGCACTTTTGAGAAAAATACACTTAGAAGCAGTTTTTTAAAGCTTGGGCAAATACTAGTTGCTGCTCAGAAGTACTTTTTAAATTAATTAGCCAAACACAAACTGCTTCTTATCAAAAGTACTTTTGAAAAAGCACTTTTAAAGAAAACACTTCTCAAAATAAGCTGATTTTTATAGCTTAACCAAACGGGCTATTAGTTTGCTTTTGGTGCAACTATCTAGTGTTATTAGGGGTGTAAATGGATATGCGAAAACCGACTAAACCGACCGAATCGTATCGCACCGAACCGATTTTTAGGTTTCCTTTTAAGAAACCGTAGGTTTTTATATAAATCTATAACCGCACCGATAATTAGGGTAGATTTTTTATTTTATAAAAATAAAACGAAAAAATACTGAAACGTACCGAATAAATTTTACATGTGGAAAATATATTTATTTGGTAAATTTAAAAATAATAATGCACTAAATTTTCTTTCAGCCTTGGAATTATGAAAACTATTACGAGCCAACAAGTAATTAAACTCAAAATACTAATTCCTAAAACCTACTATGCTACTTCTACTTAAACTAAATTATTTCAAGTATCTTTATTAGCAAGACACAAAGTATTTTATCGATTATGAGTAGCAAACTACAATGTATTGAATATGTTTCCTTTCATATAATTTAGATTTATCTTTTTGAATATTTTATCTTCTATAGACTTTATTCTTGAGTCCCATCTTGGTATATCTTTCAACTCGTGTGATTTATATTTTCTTTGTCTTTGTTTGATTTCTTTTACGTTGTTGTAGAACAGTTGATGGATCTATATTCTAGCCATCTTTTTTTTTTAATTCATTACCCTTTAAACAGTAAAAATATCTAGAGAATTTTGCTAAATCCGATAAAAACGTATGTTATTGCATTCTACTTCTACTAGTGAATTTTACATGATATTTAAAAAAATACCGAAAATTAACTGAATCGTACCGATACCGAAGAGAAACCGACATGATTGGGACGGTTTCGAAAAGTTTAATTTTGATTATACATAATAGAATAACCGAAAAAATAATATGGTAAAAATTTTATGAAATAACCGTCCGAACCGAACCATTGACACCCCTAAGTGCTGTGTTCATCCTCCCATTCTCGTATATATATGAGAATATAGTAGAACTAGCTATGCTTGCGCGTGCTATGCACAGGCCCAACACCGAGAATAACTTTAAAATAGAATCCTTTTATAGCATATTCATATTCTGAAGCCTTGTAAGATGATATAACCATCCAAAAGTTTCACATGTATTCAAGTTGAATATGACTAATTACACTTGAAATATTTAACGTTAAAATCAATGCTGAACATAATGATAGCAAGAGCATTGCCATACTTAATACTTTTCCATTCTTTGTGTCACGACCTTAAACTCGGACCCGATTGTAATGGCGTCTCTCATAACATTTCTCATTTCATTTCTTAAGCAATTAAATTAATAAATGTTAAGCCTTAAACTTGGTAAGATAAATAATAAGTAGTGAACATTACAATTTGCGGAAATAAAACCCAACACAGTCCGATACCGGGGTGTCACCAGTCATAAACATCTATCAATTCTAACACAAGTCTGAAAAGTCTACAAAGCTATTACAAAGTCACTAATAAAGGAAAAGAAATGAGATAAGGGGGAGAAACACGGGACTGCGGATGCCAAGCAGCCACCTCGTGAACTCCGAAGTCTGCCGGGAGCTCTCAACTCTCGCTAGCAGGATCAACAACGCCTGAATCTGCACACGGGGTGCAGGGAGTAAAGTGAGTAGTCCAACTCAGTGAGTAATAATCATAAATAAAGACTGAGAAATATGAAATCACGTAAGGGACATTACATGCTATAATGAAGCAGTAAAAATCAGTAAAACAATGAATCAGTAAAGATATGTAAAAAACAGTTTAGTTCAGTTAAACTTCATGAAATGTCTTTCTAACATTTAAGCAAACAAATGACAGGCAAATAAGAAAGATAAACACATAAAGGTTCACCCCTCGGGCACAATATCAACAAATCCGTCCCTCGGGCAATATCTCATAACAATACCAGCCCCTCGGGCTATATCTCACATCACAATGGGTACCTGCGCTCACTGGGGGTGCAGACTCCTAGAGGGGCCCCTTATAGCCAAAGCGCATATCAAGCCATCTCATGGCATCATCGCTAGGCTCTCGGCCTCATATCAACAAGTCACCTCATGACGTACAAATCTCAGGCCATCGGCCTCATAATCATAATCAGTGTATCACCGTTGCGGCATGCAGCCCGACCCAAAAGTATCCTTACAACACAGGTCATCGGCCTTACTCAGTCAAAATCACATAAGCCACTGGGGCAACAGTAAAACGTGATGCTCAGCCCAAAATATTATTTGAAATATCATTTGGTATGTTAAAAACAGAGTAAACGTGGTTAAGTTATGAAAACAGTAGATTATAGCATGACTAAGTACAAGTATAAAGTCAAAACAGTGAAAAAATATCAATAAAAATCCCCTAAGGGTTCAAATAGTTGGCACGAGGCCCAAATATGACATTCAGCCCAAAACATGATGATAGCAAATAGATTCCAGTCAAATATGCGGTAAAATAGTCATTCGGGATGAACTAAATCACAATCCCCAACAGTGCACGACCCCACGCTCGTCATCAAGCGTGTGCGCCACCTTAATATAGCACAACGATGTGCAAATCCGGGGTTTCATACCCTCAGGACATCATTTACAATCATTACTCACCTCGATTCGGTCCAAACTCTAGCCCGCGATGCCTTTGCCCTCACGAATCGACCTCCGGATGCTCCAAATCTAGCCACAATCAGTACATAACCATTAAACATGCTAAGGGAACAAAGCCCACTCAAAAATATCCAATTTACATAAAATAAATCCCCAAATTGCTCAAACCCGGCCCCCGGGCCCACGTCTCAGAATCCGATAAAAATTACATCAATAAAATTCTCATTTACTCACGAGTCTACCCATATCAAATTCATCAAAACCGACCTCAATTACCCATTCAAATCCCTAAAAGAAATCTCAAACTTTTCTTCCATTTTTCCCCAATTTTCACTCTAATTTCTCAAATTAAATGATGAAATTTAAGACCAAATCATGAAATTAAACCAAATATGAGTGAATAATACTTACCTTAATAGATCCACTGAAAATCTCCTCAAATTCCACCTTCTCCCGAGCTCTCCAATGGTTTTTATGAAATTAGACTTAAACCCTTGTTTTCAAAATATAATCTGACTGCCCAGGCATTTTTTCGTCGCGTTCGCGAAGCACACTGCTTCACAGAGCAAAATTCCTTCTACGAGAATGCGATAACCTTCTCGCGAATGCGAAGCACAACAAACTGTTCGCGACCTCTACTACGCGAACGCGTAGAACAAATGCATTGGGGACCCAGCTATCCATCCCCCTTCTTTTATGCGAGTGCGGCAGGAGACTCGCGAACGCGATGACCAGAGACCACACACCTTCGCGATCACGGAACCATCTTCGCGAACGTGAATGCCAACTCCATAGCCTTACACCTTAACCCTTCGCGAACGCGGGACATGCATCGCGAACGTGAAGGTCAAAAACCTGCAACACCAACAGTAGGGATTCTGCAATTTTTCACAATATGAAATGATCCGATTGACCACCCGAAACTCATCCGAGGCCCCCGGGACCTCAACCAAACATGCCAACATATCCCATAACCTCATTCAAACTTGTTCCAACATTCGGAACGCTCAAAACAACATCAAAACACCCAATTCGCATCGGATTCAAGCCTAAGAATTCCAAAATATTCTAAATTACGCTTTTGATCAAAAACTCAACCAAACCATGTCCGAATGACCTGAAAGTTTGCACACATATCCAAATGACACAACAGAACTACTGCAACTCTCCGAATTCTATTCCGATCGGTATATCAAAATCTCACCTATCAATCGGAAATTGCCAAAAATCCAATTTTGTCAATTCAAGCCTAAATCTACTCCGGACCTCCAAAACTCATTCTGATCACGCTCCTAAGTCCCAAATTACCTAACGGAGCTAACCAAATCATAAAAAATTCGATCCGAGATCATATACTAAGAAGTCAAATCTTGGTCAAACCCTTCAAATTTTAAACTTCAAACTGAGGATTGTTCTTCCAAATTCATTCCGGTTACCCTGAAAAACCAAAACCAACGATTCACATAAGTCATAAGGCATCACACAGGGCTAGTCATGCCCGAGAATTAGCAAGCAAAGTGCACAAGCTCAAAACGATCGGTCGGGTCTTACATCCTCCCCCGCTTAAATATACGTTCGTCTTCGAACGTGCCCAGAGTTGTTCCAAAATCCAACCACTCGCTGAATAACCTTACCATGCACATACCCGAGGGTGATCCCATGTCACCTTATCTCATATAGGTCCGATAACACAATCAACTAAAATTTCACAATCCAACCTAGCCCATAAACCTTAGAACCACATTTCCACTTTCGAAATCATCCACAAGATCAGAATCTCATATCTATACTCTGAATAAGCCCAAACAAGCTGTGATAACTAATACCTGCAACCTCAGGTGCAATTACATGATATACCACATAACTCAAACACTTGTAGCGATAACTTCTAATCACAGCAGCTACACACAACAACTG